GGTCAGGGCGGCGTTCGGACACCGACGGCACTGTCCCAGACCCTTTCGCGTCGCGAAAAAATCACGCTGGAAGGTTTTTCGCTATTTTCGCCCTCTGGAGGTCCTCGCCGGGCCTCGGGACCGTCAAAAAACGGCTCGGGATGAAAAACCGGTCCCAGGGAAAGGGTCCAGACCTTTGGGGCTCGACGTCGTGAAAAAATCACGACGTCGGGGGTCTGGGGTTGGCGCCATGGGCTCAGTAACAGTCCGGAGCGCAGCACAGGTGCAGCAAATTCGCGCTGGCTTCGAAAGTGCGCATTGCGCGACCGTTCGTATCGCGAGGCCGGTCTCGCGGACTGGGGGGCCGGACTCGTGTGCGTGATTGGGCGCGTAGGTCCTTCTTGGGCTCCCCTGTGTCTCGGATCCGAGCTAAAACTGCGCTCTCCTGGGATTCGTGGCCCCCCTCGGGAAGTGACGCCAGCGAGAAGCTTTTTTGTAGGGGGGGGCAGGCAGGGAAGGTGATGGGACGGCGGTGGGGGAGGACATGGGCGGAGTGAGGGGGACGGGGGTGTGGGAGGAGTCCGGCACTAGAGGATTAAACAGTGAGGATGGATGGAACGGATGAGGATTTGTAGCGTTCCGGAACGCTCCCAGAGCGTTCCGCAGTGGCCGCGGCGCCCAATACATCCTCCTGAACCGCCGGAGCTCGTAGATCCCCGATTAGTATCAGACTTTATCCTGGTTCTGCGGCTTGTTTTTTGTAAGTTTTTGGCGGGGGCGAGGAGCGAAATCAGGTGGAGCAGCAGCAGCAGCAGCAGCAGCCTTCGGCCAATCCCGCCACCATGCCAGAATCGTGGAGACGAGACGAGGTCTCTTTTGAGGACCCTTGGAGACGTCGCTGAGGCTTTTCGGGGACTTCTTCAGGGCTTCTCCCTGCTTGCCTCTCGAGGGGCTCCTGGCAGCCTTTTGAGGACCTGCTGGCGGTCTTGGGGATCATCTTGGAGTGGATGGCCCAGGCAGAACGAGATTTCTCTCATGCGGGTCTCTGATGGGCCTTACGGCTCTCGCCTGGGCCGGTTTGGACGCCCTAGCGAACAGTAGTCCAAGTATGCCGAAGTCGTATGAACAGTTTCTTGATGCTCTTCAACGACCAGGAGGGGAAGAAACACACAGACACAATTAATCGTCGATTCCCCAGAAGATATGGGAACATGTAGGAAGTGGGTGGGAAGGCGAAGACTCAGTAAACGTTGGGACATATGGCGAATCCTGGGATTTGTGTGTGTGTGTTTGTTTGTGTCCCTGGGCCCTTTGATTTCTGTTCTTCAGTGGCGATTGTCTTCTGGGCGGGCCTCGAAGGCCTCCGAGAGAGTCGCGCGACGGCGGCACGACGGCCCCCCTCGGGCGACGGGGAGTTCCTGAGCTTTCTGTGTGCGCGTTTGGGCGGATACATGCCGTGCGCGCGCCTGGGCTGGGCACGGCGCCGCCGAGGCGCTTGACCGCTCAATCTGCGCGCGCGTGGGGAAAAACATTCGGGCGGAGATCTGTGGTGCGTTTTTTGTTTGGGCGTTTCTTGTCTGTGCGTCTGGGCGCGAGTGCCGAAGTTGTTGTTTGCGCGCTGTTTTCCTGGTTCGGTTCGAGCGGCGTGGCTTCCCAGAGGCCCACCGGGTGTGGCTTCCCAGGGCCCAAGCGGGAGAAGCCGGAAGTTTCCAAGAGTGTCTAATTATGTTGGCAGTTCAATCGTCGGCACCCCCTCTCACAAGCACAATTGCAGAAGCCTTGCGGCACTCGATTTCTTGCTGGAGGCACGGTGGATGATTTCTTATGAGAGAGCACAGCGTGAGCCCTCCCACGTTCTCGCTCAGCGTGAATTGGTGAAACAATGTAACACGTGCCATGCGGTTAAGAGACGTCTACGTCGTGGATTTGCTACTGAAGCGGTTATTGACCGTTACGCAGCGCAGAGCCCGCAGTAGGACACCATTTCCCAGCCGAGGTTTGTTGCGCGGACAAGCGGTGCGCACACCTCAGCAGGCACTTGACTCTGAGGCTGTTCGGTCTCTCCCTGCTAGCAACACTCGGCCGCCTCTACAACAAACCTAACCTGCAGGGTCGACAAGACATGGGTCGTCAGCGGTCCGACCGTTGCTCGATGTCTGCAATATGGGGGCACGCCATATCGTCCAACGGCGTGTAGTTCGACTTGCCAGTGAAAGTTCCCTCCCGTCCATGGATCACCATGCGGCCCTCTATGCGCGAACGCGCGCCGGCGATCACAAGAGTTCTGGACCGCTGGCCGTGCCAGGATCCTCAGATTGCTCTGGCGTGGTGCGCTTCGAAATAGCACCCGCTGGGAGTCGTTGCGGGACCCGGCTGCAGGCTTGAGCATTCAGCGACGTTGCCTTCCGTTCGCTTCGTCGCCGCGCGTGCGCACGTCCTGGCAGCAGCTCGGCCAGCCAGCTGTGGGTCGCCCCAGAAAGACGATAGGGGGGCAACTGGGTGGTTAGCGAGGGTGGACGGGATTGGGGGACGAGGGGAAACGGCACGCAGAGGACTATTGGGGTCGCCCCGCGAAGGCGAGGAAGAAGGGCATGCCGAGGCAACTGGAGAGAAGGCGGAGCAGAGGGAGGAAGAAGTAGGGGCGCCCGCCCCCAGGTGCGCAGAACGATTCTCGCACGTTGCGCCTCGCGGGTTCGGTTCCGATTCCTCGTCCTCCTGTTCTCCCCTTGGGGGGCGGCGCGAGAGCGCGAGGATCATCCGCGCCCCGCGCAGCGCGAGAGCGCGAAATTAGGCGCGTCTGGATGGGGCGAGTGCCAGAAGCCAACGCCCTGGACGACATTGTTCAAACACTGAATGCACGAGTGTCCTGTCTTGCGTTGCCGACGGATCAGTGCCCCAGGCTCCAGGAGAAGAAGCATGGGGAAACAGAAGAGGAGGAGGAAAGACATCTTCAGTCGTGGAGGGGGAGGTGGGGGAGAAGGGGGAGGAGAAAAAGGAGAGGGGAGGACGAGGAGGAGGAGGAGGTGGAGGAGGACCAGTGTAAACCCAAGAACCATCGACGATGTTGGCATAAGCCCTCCTTTCCAAGCTCCCTCTTCACAGGCCCCAGCAAAAGTTCATTACCACTGAGGGAACTGCCTCTTTGGAAGACAACCGTTTGAAGACCCTGAAGCACGCCAAAACATTGTTCCTGGGATTCCAACGCCACGGATCAACCTGATTGCTGCGTCTTGACAATCCTGAATCGTGCCAGAACGCCATTCTTTGAATTTCAGCGAACCAACCAAACTGTTGCACCCGCATAATCTGAAAGCCTGTCAGAACACAATTTCTGGCACGTTGACGATGGGCATCCGTGAAATTTTTTCCACGTTTATAAACGAATGTGCGCCGCGCTAAAGCGATAGCCACAGTTTGAACATGAACCGCCTTCAATACGTGAAGCCTTTTGCAACGTTTTAAAACGAATATGCGCAAAACTAAGGCGAGAGCCACATATTGAAAACGAACCACCCTCAAACCGTGAAGCTCTTGCAACATTGCAAGACGAGTGTGCGCAGCGCTAGGGCGAGAGCCACATATTGAAAACGACCCGCCCTCAATCCGCGAAGCTCGCTCAAGTTTGAACAGCGAATGTGCGCAGCGCTGAGGCGAGAACCACATTTTGAAAACGGGCCGCCCTCAATCCGCGAAGCTTTTTGCAAGTTTTTGATATGAAAATGAATGCGCGCCGCGCTTAGACGAGAGCTACATGTTGAAAACGACCCGCCCGCAATCAGTGACATGTTTGCAATGTTTTACAACGAATGTGCCCCGAGCCCCGGCGAGCGCCACATTTTGAAAACGACCCGCCCTGAATCAGTGAAGTGGTTGACAACTTTTAAGTTTCAGAGTCACGCGTGGCGAAGACGGCTCAGGCAAAACGCCCAGCCCGCCCTAAAACTTGCGTCGGGGTGCGACAGGAAGAAGTACAAGGAAAAGGAATGGAGGAGGAGGACGGCGAGGTTGAGGAGGACGGCGAGACGGACGAGGACGGCTGAGGAGAAGGCAGGGGGTGGAGATGAGGGGAAGGGAAGGAAGAGGCGAAGGAGGGGGGAGGAGGGATGGATGGAGGATGCGGAATCGACGAGGACGAGGACGAACACGAGGAGGAGCACAAGGGGTCAGGGATGACGGTGAGGAGGAGCGGGCGAGGGACGAGGGGAGGATAACCTAGCGCCCCTGGTAATCATTTCACCCTCCTCGTTAACCTCTGAGAGTTTTTTGTTTCCCAGGCCAATGCACATTAGGTCGGGGAAGAAGGGCGGCAAGGCCGAACTTGATTATCGTGGGGGAAGTTGCGAATCGAAGTTGCTATCTTCTTATGTTGTGTAGCAAGGCATCCTAAGAATTCCTATGGTTGTCCTAAGGGTTCTTGTAGATGTTCTGAAGGCTCCAATAGATGCAATAAGGATTCCTGTGGGATGCCTATGGGACCCTACGGGTGGATCCTATGCATTTTTGTTTGGCTTCCTATGGGTGTCTGAGGAATCCGATGGATTTTCTGAGGATCCTCTTCATTTTCCTCCTGACGCGCCCGCCCTGAACATGTTTATCTTTTCTTGTTACCACCGCAGACGAGCCGCCATGAACGCCTACACATGCGCCTATTGACGACGATTAGACAGAAATTGGTTCTACGCATACAACACCGAAGGTCCCGAATCTAAGCTTTTGTTGGACGACTTGTCCTGGGGCTCCTGCTCCGCCTCCTCATCCTCCTTCTCCTTCTCCTTCTCCTTCTCCTCCTCCTCCTCCTTCTCCTTCTCCTTCTCCTTCTCCTTCTCCTTCTCCTCCTCCTTCTCCTCATCTTCCTCCTCGTCCTATTGAATGTTACATGAATCCGATGGATTGCCTGAAGACTCCCAGGTGTTCCTCAATGAGTCCGATGGATGTCCTAAGGAATCCGATCGATGTCCTAAGGAGTTCTAAGACTGTCCGAAGGATTCCTATGGAGCGTCCAGGATAATCTTTATCATCGTCGTCCTCGTCATCTTTAGCATTATGCTGCGATCTCTTGGAAAACGTTCACCATCCCCCCTGGACCCCGAATTTTACTATCCCAAGGAGAGGGGGAGTGTATGACGAGGAGCAGAAGGACGTGGAGGAGGAGGAAGACGAGGAGGAGGAGGAGGAGGAGGAGGAGGAGAAGGACGAGGTGGAAGAGGAAGAGGAGGAGGAGGAAGAGGAGGAGGAGGAGGAGGAGGAGGAGGACGACGTTGAGGAGGAGGAGGAAAAGGAACAGGAGGAAGAGGAGGAGGAGGAGGAGGAGCAGGAGGAGGGGGAGGAGGAGGAGGAGGAGGAGGAGGATGAGGAGGAGGAGAGGAGAGGAGGAGGAGGAGATGAGCTGGAGGAGCTGGAGGGGCAGGGACAGCGAGGCGGAAGAAGATGAGGACGGCGGAAGAGGAGGAAACGGAGCAGGAGGAGGAGGAGGAGGAGGAGGAGGAGGAGGAAAAGGAGGCGAAGGAGCAGAAGCTCTGCAGCCGCCTGGGTTGCGCTCCCACCACACGGGCGGCATCCGGGTGGCCCCGCCCACCCTGCGGGGGGGGGGCCCGCGGCTCGGCGCGGAAGCGGAGCAGTGCGGAGGGCCGGCGCTGGGCGTCAGCGACAGCAAGGCGCCTGGGTCACCAATTGGCGGGGATTCGCCCCATTTTTTGTCGTTGCCGAAAAGTGTGATGGGCCTGTTTTCCACCACCACCACTACCACCATATGCAGGGGGGGAGGAGGTGGAGGATGAGGTGGATGAGGCGGAGGAGGAGGAGGAGGTGGAGGAGAGGAGGAGAAGGAGGAGGAAGAAGAGGACCCCCTCCCCCTCCAAGTTATGTTGGTGGTGGTGGAACAAAGGCCCATCAAAGTGAGCGCTTTTTTATTTGGCGTTTCGACATTGGGCGGGAAGGGGCCGCTTGCCTGGCCGCTTGCAGCAGTGCGGCAGATGGGGGAGGGACCCCACCTGCTCGAAACAGGGGCCAAAAACAACTAAGATCTACTCCATGGGGGGGGTGCGAGGGGTGGCGCCGATCGGCAAAACAATGAATAAAAAAACGCCCACAACAAAAATATGGGCCCCTGGGCCGTCAAAAAACGATTCGGGAGGAGACACCGGTCCTGGGGAGGGTGTCCAGACCTTGGGAGTTCCACCTTGTGGACAAATCCCGACGGGGCGCTGGGCGCCAGTGCCAGCCAGGCTTCAGTTGGGCACGTCTCTCTGCAGGTGGACTATATTGAAAAATAGTCAAACAATGGTCTGGGGACGACGTTTTGAACATTGTTGGGGCAGTTTTGAATATTGTTTTTTTTTGTCCCGTCCAGAATCCGCCTGTAGGGGGACGTGCCCGACCTGAGGCCAGGCGCATGGAGAGGATTTTGTTTCGTTCCTGGGCGATTGCGGGCGTTACCAGGGACGGGGGGGCCGGGGGCCGATAACGTCACGGGCGATTACCAGGGGCGGCAAGAAGAGGGGGGTGATGACTAGGGGGGGTGTATCATGTCGTGGGCCATGATGTTTCCCCAGATTTCACCGCGCCTCCTCTTCCCACCAACCCACCCACCCACCCACCCACCCACCCACCCACCCACCCACCCACCCACACCCACCACCCACCCACCCCCCCCCACCCACCCCACCCACCCCCCCCACCCCCCCCCCAACCCACCCCACCCACCCACCACCCCACCCACCCACCCACGCCACCCCTCCGTCGCCGTCGTCGTCGTCGTCGTCGTCGTCGTCGTCGTCGTCGTCGTCGTCGTCGTCGTCGTCGTCTCGATGGCGGCGGACAGGGCGACAGGCAGAAGCGACGGACAGCGGCGACGGACGTCACAGGGGCGACGGGCAGCGGCGACGGACAGGACAGAGGCGATGGACAGGGGTGGCGGACAGGGGCGACGGACAGAGCGACGGACAGGGCGACGGACGGGAGAACCCCTCAGACACCAAATGATCGCGAATCAATCAGTGCAGGGTCCGATTGCGTCCCTCGCCCCCCCCTGGGCCGCGCACATGCCGCGGCCATGATTTGCCCCCCCCCCCCCCACCCTCTTGGACGCCCCCCTCGTGGCCACTCCCGAGAGGGGAGGGCCGGGGGCCGATAACGTTAAGTCGGGCTTGTCCCTCTACAGGAGTAGTAGAACATTCAAGAATAGTGAGAAACATTCTGGGGACGATGTTTTGGCTAGGTTTGCAGATGTTTCGAGTTATTTTTTGGATATTTTCAATTTTTCGCCCAAGATCTCCTTGTAGGGGGACAAGCCCGACCTAACGAGAACGTCACGTTTCTCGCTGGCGCCGTCTGGGCATGCGCAGGGATGACCAAAGGCAGCACGGATAGCGGATACCCCAGGGATCTGGTGCGCAGAGTGCGCACACCTGCAGGGATCCGCTACCGCACAGCGCTTCCCTTCTCCTTTTCCTCTTCTTCCTGTCTCCCTCAGCCTCCCACACCCGTCCTTCTTCTCCTTCCCCCCGTCGTCGTCGTCGTCGTCGTCGTCGTCGTCGTCGTCGTCGTCGTCGTCGTCGTCGTCGTCGTCGTCGTCATCGTCCTCCGCCTTTCCTCGTTGTCCTCGCTCATTCTACGTGCTGCGAAGGAAAAGGGAGGTTGCGAGGGAGGCTGGGCAAGGCAGAAGCAACCTGTTGGGTTACGTTTCTGTGGTCGATTCGCGCTCTGGAGGGAGTCCGGGCGCTCCTGGGCCCGAGACGGGGAGGGGCCTCGTCGTCGTCATCCTCCTCCTCCTCCTCCTCCTTCTCCTCCTCCTCCTCCTCCCTCCTCCTCCTCCTTCCTCCTCCTCTCCTCCTCCTCCTCCTCCTCCTCCTCCCCTCCTCCCTCCCCTCCTCCTCCTCCTCCTCCTCCTCCTCCTCCTCCTCCTTCTCCTCCTCCTCCTCCTCCTCCACTCGTTATGGCCTCGTCGTCCTCGTCTTACCTATGTTCCTCGCCAACCACGCTGAGGTCCTCGCGGGCCACTATGGTGGTTGCAACAGCGCACGCCCTACCTTCACCCACCGTCTCGTGCCTTGCATTCCTGCCTCGCCCGGAAAATCGAACCCAACTCAACGGGACATGCTTCTGTTTTTTTTACCTGCATCATCTGCATCATCTGCTGGAGTGGCCCCCCTTCGTGAAAATTGGGCGATGGAGCCCACGCCGTGGGCTGTTTGAACCGTTGCCCCTCGTAAGCGCTGGGTGCTGGAACCCAGCCTTCTTGACAGCACAATCTGCTGGAATCGTTTGTTCCTTTCCTCAAGAATGGATGCTGGGTCCCGCGGCGTGGGCTGCTCGAACCATTGCCCCTCGTAAGAAGTGGGTGCTGGAACCCACCTTTCTTTACGATCTGAACCATCTTCCCTCGTCACTGGAACCACACCCCACTTGGGGATTCAAAGTTCAAATAAGGTTGGGGGGTACGGTGCCCAGGAGTGGGTGTCCTAGCACTGTGTTCACGCCTCGCCCTCAAACGGGGGCAGTCCGCGCGCGCGCACGCACGCGCGCGCGAACGCGCGCGCGCACGAACGCGCACAAACTTAGGCGCGAGCGCGAGCGCGAGCCCGATCGCGAGCCAGACCTCGAGCCCGAGCGCGAGCCTTAGAACGAGCCGGAGCCCGAGGCCCGTCCTGAGCGCGTGCGCGCGCGGGTGCGCGTGCGCGCGCGCGCGCGTGCGTGTGCGTGAACACGCGCTTCCGATATGTTGACATGCGCTCAAAGATAAGCCAGCTCTGACCTGCAGCAGAAATATTCTATACCATTTCTTTGTTTTGGCGCGCTTTCCAGGATTCGGCGGCCCGCGGCGGGGAAAGGTCTCTTCGGCGTCCTTAGAATTGGTGCAATTTGGACGTTGTGCTCATCTTGCGGTGCGCGTTCGTGCTTCAAAGCCATCGGGCCGACATCGCGCCGCCTCCGCGTTGCGTCGCCCAGCGCGTGTAGATGCGCGACGTTTGTTGCTGTTCCTGCGATGTGCGCGGGCCGGCGGGGTTCTGCGCACAGCGCGCCAAAGAAATTTGTCGAATAGCGACTGGTTTCTCAGGATACGGTTGCCACGAGCGAGACGCAGGAACACGCGATATTAATATTGGGTTGCGCCCACGTGCGCATGCACGTGACGCAGCGAATGTAGGACCGCACGAGTTCTGCGGATTCGGTAGGACTGCCCGCCGTTGTGGTGGGTTTTGCTTCGCGCTCCTGCTCCGCATCGTCGGCGTTTTGCGGCCCCGCTTCGGCCGCGTCGCGATGTTGTGGCGTTCGACGGCCCCCCCAGGGACGTCAGCGAGATTATTGCAGCCCTCTTGGGCTTTCTGTTCGCGTTGGAGGAGCCTGGCGTTTCTTTGGGTGGACCTTTGGCTCCGTTTCTCGAAGAGTGCCACATGTGCGGTCCGTCCGCTCCTCCTCCTCTCTCTTCCTCCTCCTCCTTTTTTTTTCCTTCCTCCTCCTCCTCCTCCTTCTCTCCTCCTCCTCCTCCTGCTCTCCTCCCCCTCCTCCTCTTCCTCCTCCTCCTCCTCCTCCTCCTCCTCCTCCTCATCCTCCTCTCCTATCTAGTTATTGGGGTCGGTGACATCCTCTCCGTTCCTGGGGTGTCTCCAAGCATATCTTCCTGTGGCCCTCCCCTGCTGTCATCACTTTTGGCCTATGTTCTCCCTTCTCATTTTTCCCGGATAGGGCTTCGGTCCAGGGTTCTCTTTTAGTGTTGTCCCCCCCGGTTTTGACGGCTGTAGGGCCGGCGAATTTCTTTTGCTATCAATGACGAGGTCGCGTAGGGCGGGCGAATTCAAATTTAAGGATGTCTCTAGCGAAACGCTGGTTTTTGAAATCGCGGGACGCATTTTGGTCAGGGGAACGGATTACGCATCCTATATATACATATATATATATATATTGGCCCTTCTGTTACTTGTAGATTGGCACTCTCCAGGGGCACGAATGCGTGTGTTTTTTATGTTTATTTCTATAGATTGACCCTCTGCAGGAGTATGTCTGTTCCTATACACTGGCCCTCTCCAGGGGCACGAATGAATCTTATAGATTTATATACATATATATATATATTACATATGTTCCGATAGATGGGCCCTCTCATTACGTGTAGATTGGCCCTCTCTAGGGGCGCGAATACGTGTGTGTTTCCGTATATTCCTATAGATTGGCCTTCTCCAGGATCACGTGCGTTCCCATGTTTTTTTCCAGGATGTCCTTGGCCACGCAGGGGGTATCTAACATGTCCTGCCCGAACTGGAACCACGTCGCTTCACGTGTCCGCGGACCTCAAACAACAACGCATTATCGTGCTGTTCTTTGCCCAGCAGTGCGAAGCTCGACCGAGAGCGCAAGCCCGTCGCCACAGGACGTGCGGGCGTATTTGGGGGCTCTGCACCTGCCTGCGTGCTCGACTTGTGGCAATGTGGCCTCGCACGGTTCTCTTGCCAGGGCTGTTCGAGCCTTGCTGTGCGTCCCATCGCACGGCCTTTGGAACAGGCCGCAGGGATTGTGGCTCTGGTGGTGTCCGAGGCTTTGAGAACTCAGCGGGCCCTCTCGAGATACCCTAGGGGGAAAACACAGAAATCTGATGCTGTTCTTTCCTCGATGTCAGCCCTCGCTTGCCCTGCAGCCATGCAGCAGCACCGATGGCAGAGCCTGCTTCGGTTGTGGTGTGCCACCCCGGAGGCCATCCTGGGCCCACCCGGGCCATCGATGAGTCATCTTGGACCATCTGGCCGTCGTCTTGGGCCATCTTGAAATTTCTCTCAGGCCGCCTTGGGTCATGGGCCATATTGGGCCATCTTGGTGGCCAAAACCTCTGGGCCATCGGTTCTTCTTGGGCTATCGGGCTGTCTTCTTGGGCCATCTTGAGGGCATCTTGGTTGCCAAAAGCTCAGGCCTGTCAGGATCGGGTGGGGCGCCGCGGTACCCCCCCTCCAGATGTACAGTCGGGGCGCTGAAGAAGGAACCTTTTTCGTTTGGGAGGGGCTCCGTGCTTCGTGTGGCGTTGGCTTGCCGGCGACGCCGACGACGCGGAAGCATCGATGAGCACGGTAACGCCACTGGACAAGACTAAGTTGAACCTTGAACGATCGAGGCCGCGATCAATTCAAGGTTGAACGGTCGACGCGGTGTCAAAAATCTTTGCGCGCGCCGACGCCGCACGAACCTACCGTAGGTGTGTTACTGATTACCTTAGGTTTACCTTCGGTTTTCGATCGGGAATCGAAGTTGAACTCTGGGAAGAAGGGGCCTCGTTCGTGATTCAGCGCTCCTTCGGTCGACGCCCCGACTGGCAGCCAGCTGGACAGCACTTGCAGCCATGCGACAGCAGCACTGAGCGGCTCCCCGTGTCCAGGCGGGCGCCAGCGAGCTGGCCCCCACCCAGGCCACGGCCAGCAGCGCGAGGCCCCTTAGTACGACGCCCCCGCCCTCGGGGACGCCGCGGCCCGGGAGGGCGGCGAGTCCCGTCCACGCCGTGGGCGCCCCGGGCCGCTCGAAGGGAGGAGTGAGGAGGAGGAGGAGGAGGAGGAGGAGGAGGAGGAGGAGGAGGAGGAGGAGGAGGAGGAGGAGGAGAGAGGAGGAAGAGGAGGAGGAGTCGGGAGAGGAGGAGGATGAAAAGGAGGAAGAGGAGGAGGATGAGGATGAGGAGGAGGAGGAGGAAAAGGAGGAGGAGGAAGAGGAGGAGGATGATGATCAGGAGGAGGAGGAGGAGGGCACATCTCGTTCGAGCGCGTGTCTGCTTCGATCTATGCCTCCTAGATGGGGTCGGAGCAGACGGGGTGGGAGGATCGCGCCGCATCTCGGCGATGCATCGGCGAGGCGGTTCGATGTGGAGCCCGATTTGCTTCACGCCGACGTCGCTGATGAATCGCCCACGTCGACGATGCATCGCAGGTGCATCGCCGATGTATCGCCGATACGTCGCCGATATATCAGCCATGCTGCGCGATCCTCCGACCCCATCTACTCCGACCCCATCCAGGAGACCTCTATTCGAGGAGGGCACCGGGTGCCCCCACCTCCACTCGTGGTGGAAACATCGCGGCGGGAGGTGCTGGACGACATTCGGCCTCCAGGGGCCCGTCCTGGGCCCTGGACCGTCAAGCAACTGCCCGGGGGTGAGACACCGGTCCTGGGAGAAGGGTCTCGATCGCAAAAAAAAACGCGGCGTCGGGGATTTGGGCATGGACTCCCGATGTCGCTGCAGGGCCTGCTCGGGGCCTCGGGGGGGCTTCGCGGGCGGGTCGGCCACGCGGGGCAGCCCCGCGAGTTGGCGCGAAGGGTGAAGAGCAGCACAGCCCAAGTGTGAGGGCGCACACTCTGCAAGTCTGCGTCGAGGAGGGCTCTCTGAGATTGCTGCGTGGTGCTCTCCTGTCGCCAGTGCTGCCCTCCCTCAAGCGAGGGAAAAGCACCCGCACCCGACAATTGGCGTATGCTAAACGGCCTTGGGCTTGGACTAAACAGTCCTGCCCTGTTCGATTCCTTGCATGGGTGCGTTTACCAAACGACTTCACTTGTCGGGGTGTTTATTCTGGGAGTGGTTTTTCTACTCTCTATTCCTCCACCGCGCCTCCCAAGTCTTCAGCGGGTTGCGCCTCAGAGTGCCCCCTTCGCCGGAGTGGCCTGTGGTGCGGGCCCACGTAGAACCCCCCGGCAGTGGCATGTGTGCTGGGACTTGGCCTCCCCGCGGCCCCTCCCGCCCCCCTCCCCCCCCCTTCCAATGTCGAAACGCCGAATCAGAGAACGCTCACAAGCCGAAATTGTTTGAACACCAGGAATCCCTGGAGGGGTGATTGGAATCGCGTGCAGTGGTCTCCTTCCTCAGGGCCTCGTGGCCGTTTGAAGTTTTCCTCGACTTGCGCATCCTCGGAAGTTTCGTGCAGGAGTTCGGATGCCTAGTTTTTAGTTTCGTATTTCGCAGCCCAGTCTCTGGGATGACAGCTCGCGGATGCGATGATAGCGAGGAGTACCAGCGGCAGCCAGTACAGAACCTTCTGTGGACAGCGTTGCGCCGACTTTGTTTCGATTCTCCGTGGTGAAATCTGCAGTCCGAGGTTGCTCGTGGCAAGCATTTGCATGGGGTCGCTCCTCACGTGCTCTGTCGGGGTGCAGTGCGCACCACCGTCCAGTTTCGCCCACGGGGCGAGGCGGAGGGCAGGATGATGTTCGAGGTCTAGAGATGATCACCAACGACACTATGGGCTGTGTGCCTCTACCGAGGGGAGGTGATCCCGATCTCGGCGATGCTGGCAATATGCCGGCTTTTTGGCAGCGGAAAAGGCTAGCACCAGCACAAACATCCAGGATCACCTCCCCCATGAGGATCAAGAGGAGGAGGAGGAGGAGGAGGAGGAGGAGGAGGAGGAGGAGGAAGACAGAGGGGGAGGAGGACGAAGCAGGATGAGGGGGAGGATACGACGACGAGGTGGAGGAGGAGGAGGAGCAGGAGGACGAGGAGGAGTCGAGACGAGGACGAGGACGAGGACGAGGGGAGGAGAGAAGTGGATGGGTGGGTCGTCCGTAGAAAGGTCGACAGCCTCTCCAAAGAAGCGAATATCCAAGCTGGTAGGTCCCTCTGTAGTGTACTGAAGCTGGGCCGCCTGAGAGACTCTGCAGAACAGACTGAATCCACTCGACACTGGAGAAATCTCAGCTGAAGGCCGCTAAGCCTAGGGAGAACGCGTGCAGATCACGACCGCAAGGTGAGAAGAGGAGGAGGAGGAGGAGGAGGAGGAGGAGAGGGAGGAGGAGGAGGAGGAGGAGGAGGAGAAGGAGGAGGAGGAGGAGGAGGAGGAGGAGGAAAACGAGGAGAGACTAAAAGAAGGATGAGAGAGGGAGCAGGTGAGGAGGGGAAGGAGGAGTGAGGAGTAGGAGGACACGCGAGGAGGAGAGGGTGCGGAGGAGGTGGGTGGGGTGAGGAGGAGGAGGAGGAGGAGGGAGGATGACCACGAGGATGCGGCCGAGAAAGCGCGGCGGCACAGCTCTCTGCGCCGCCGGCGCCTGGCCCGCCGCCGCCTTCCGCGCTCCCGCGTCAGGCCGCGTCGCTGCCGCCGCCGCCGCCAGTGCCCCGCGGTCTCCGCCGCGCACTCGGCCTTGCAGATGGGGCGACCCAGACCTCCTCGCGCTGTGAAAGCATATCGACGGGAGGTATGCGCTATCTCTGGCATCCGTGGGCCCTCGCCGGGCCTCGGTGCTGTCAGCAAGCGACTCAGGGCGAAAAACCGGTCCCCGAGGACGGGTCCAGGCTCCTGGGGGCCACGTCGGGAAGAATCGCGACCTCGGGGGTCTGGGGGGGAGGGTGCGCGTGCGCCGCTGGAGGAGGCGAGGGGCCAAGTTTCGAGGCCTCGAGGTTTGAGGCTTTCGGGCGCTTTCGTGCCGACCCCCCCTACTCCTCCTCATCCTCCTCCTCCTCCTCCTCCTCCTCCTCCTCCTACTCCTCCTCCTCCTCCTCCTCTCCTCTCCTCCTCACCCTCATCCTCCTCCTCCTCCTCCTCTCCTCCTCCCTCCTCCTCCTTTTCCTCCTCCTCCTTTTCCTCCTCCTCCTTCTCCTGCTCCTGATCCTGATCCTCCTCCTCCTCCTAATTCTCCTCCTCCTCCTCCTCCTCCTCCTCCTCCTCCTCCTCCTCGCCGGGAGCCTTCCTGGGGTGCCCGGCGTCCGGATCGTCCCCGACCGGCCGCCGGAGAGCCGAAAGTGTGACCCGAGAGCCAACGTTCGGGGGGGTAGGCTTAAGTCGGGCGTGTCCCTCTCCAGGAGGAGAATGTCCAGAGTGGTCAAAAGATAGTCTGTCGGAGGAGGAAAAGATACCCATACCGCTACCCTTCCTTGTTGTCGCCCGTGTGGGCCTCCTGGGAGGCCCTTGCGCTGGATTCGCCCACAAGTTCTGGTCAGAGCGCACCCTAGGAGAGTTCCGGGGAGTAGTGGTATCGGTACTTGTCGGTTTCCCTAGTCGAAGGGGACGATTTTTCTAGCAGTTGTTCAGATTGTTTGAGGGCATGTTTGGATTCTTTGTAAGTCTT